TCACTAAGTTATGTAACAGATTTGCACAAGCTAAGCTTTCAAAGATGAAAATTAACATGTTAAAGTAGGCATCACTGACAAGACTGTGTCTCATCTCTAAAATTGCACTACTGTCAATGGCTGCACACCTTAGAGGTATGTAGGAGTACATGTCAGGAGTTGCAATTTGGCACAGAGTATGTGGTGCACAAATCATGCGCACATAAAATAAATCAGACTTGTAGGTAGTCAGGGGACTGAGAACCGGGTCAAAAGAAAATACAAAATGCTGAGACTGTTTCTACAAACAGATGCAAATGTGAGATTTGCGCATGCGTTGCTCGTGCTATCCAAGACATAGTCACATCCCAAAACTCCCAAAAAAGGAAGAACAGTCAGTCTTTGCTGTGCTGTATCACCATAACATCACTGGACATGATACCCCTTCTGGCATTTTTTAAAGGTTTGTATCTCTGAAATAATGGCCTGTGAAGCAGTTATTTTTTGATAAAAGTTGTTCAAAAACATGAGAGCTTAATCACTATCAGAAAATGGAAGCTGGGTTGATTTGTAACTTGTACCAAAACAATGGAATATTATCAAATTTTTGTATATAATGATTATTCTTTTATGAGCAGATTTAAAGATAACTTTTCAGCATTATACAAGGCAGCATTAAGAAAAAAAGAAAGTATGCCTAAAGTGAAGCCATCAAACAGTTCCAAACTCCGAGAATTTGTAAAAGAATTTGGAGTGTTTTACAATACGGCTGTTCACACATTTTCCAATACCACTCATGGAATGTTTCTGGGTAAAGCGGTACCTGCAGGAGAAGGGACTACGGCTCCTGATTTCGGACAAGGAGACGTAAACAACGTACACATCCACAGCCAATTCTGTTCTGCAATTACACGGATGAGCGTGTACCAAACCGGGTTTTAAACATTATACAAAGGGGTCCTAAGTTTATACCCCCACCGAGTGATTCTGGTGCTTCTGAAATGGTCCCAGCAACTCTAGCGGCGCTTAAAAACTGTCAAGCAGCATCTAAGTTCCCTAGTATGGAGCTTTCCATCGTCTCATTGCTTGCTTCCCAGAATTTGGAGTGTGTTTTCAGCACAGATGGACTGATTTTATTCTGCAAATTGTGTAAGGCAAAGGTATTGGCTCTAAAATAGTTTAATATACAACAACACTGATACTACAAAGCACAGCTTGTCAACTCCACTTCCTCCTGCCTGTCTTAACACACTGGGAACTTGGCATGAAACTGCTGTCTACTATGTCAGGCATTAAGACAGTTAAAGATACATTTAACTCCTTCTGAACAGGAGTTCTCTGTAGAGAAATGCAAGAAAGAAATACTGTTATAGTATAATGTCACATCTTGATATATTAGATCTCAGTTTGGAACAATGCCAGCTGCAATTACATGGTTGGAAACTGTGGGGATTCAACTGTTTGATGCCCTCACGATTAACTGATACCCTGCTTGGGTGTCAGTTAATCTTGAGAGCTATGTCAAGCCAATGGTCCAGTAGCACAGATCATTTCTAGAAAGCTTGAAAGAGTTCTTTCAACTACAAAGGGTTTTAAAACAAGAAAATAGAAGCCATTCTTAATGGAGAAGTAACCTCATTTCAAGAGGACAAACCCAAGCTCTTAAACAATAACATTGGCTTCTTCAAGTATGCATCCATGATGACATGTGATGTGAAGAGATCATTCAGCAGATTCAAGGTTCTACTGGCAGACAACCATCCATGTTTCAAGTTTAAAAATTTACATAATAACATGATAATACAGTGCAATAATGAAGTCTAACAATGTCATGTATGAAAGTTGATAATTAGAACATTGTATAAGATTAAAAGAAATCAGAATTAAGCTCAGTTAATGCTTTTCTGAAATTTTTAGATCTTTTTTAGTCATATTTTCAGATTTTTAGGGCTTATACCTGCTTGTTTTGCCATTTTTTAGGTCTTAAAAATCAAAGTCCTAATTATTAGATATTAAACGAATATCAATTGCATAATTTTATCGTTGTCATTAGCTATGCATCAAGAATTATAGTAAAAATAATTAAAAAAAAAGTAGAAAAAAAAAAGCTAGTAACACATTTTTTTCCAGCTGATTTAATTCCAGCTATCTAACTCTAGAATTAGATCAAGCATTCATTTTAGAGAGGAATGAATCAAGCCTTCATTATAGTAAAAACTCATATGATAAGCAAATATCATAACATACATCTCCACTTAGTAATATATATGATGCTGAAACAGTGTCAAAATTAAATCTTCTAATTAAAGTGCACAAGTTAACAATGCTATACTTTATCAGATATAACATCTCCATGTAATAACTGATGCAGAAAAGATGAGAATAAATTTTAAGATCTTTTTAATTAATAATTAGAGTTTGAAAAAAAAATTGTGTTCATTGAATAAAAAACAACAAATAATTAAAATTATATTTATAATACATTAATCATTCAAAATGTATTGTAAGTATTTGCATACTAAAAGTTAATCAGTTATATTAACTTTCTATTATGTATTTCTATGATTTATAGTTGATTGCCAATTAAAAAAATATTTTATATTATTAAACAATAAAGATTTTTAATATATTTTTTTTGTACATATAAAAAGGCATTTACATCATTTAGTGATGTTACAAAATAAGGAAAATATCAAAATGAATTTTTATTTTCCTAATTTGGTATTTTCTCCTTTCTTATAATTTATTTTCATTAAAAAACAAATTACAAAAGTTTCCAAGTACAGAAAAAATATTTCCATTAGGTAAAGAAATATTTTCTTCTACATTCAAAAATTTTTCATTAACAACAGATAGACAATAATCCTTCCAAAATATGAAAAACAAAAAATAAAAATAAACTTAAATTTCAGCTTGCTAATAGTAAACTGTAGACAGTTATTTAAAGACAAAAACCTATTCCAGCATCAGTTTTTTAATACTGTATGTCGAACGCTTTTGACTATCTGTATAGCCTTCCTCAGGATCAAACATTTTTAAATAGTTCTTTAAAGTTTAATTATTATGTTCTAAAACAAGAACCATTTAAATACACAAAATTGCCAAATTGAGAATACAAGTAAATGTGTACAATATTGACAAAAGTATACAAAATAAAATAAAATAAATATATAAATTTAAAATAAATATAAAAATAAAGTAAATAAATGCATATATGAAATATTTGTTTTAGACAGTTATCAAGCTGATATTTATAAGTATTTTTTAATGACTTCTTTTTAAGACAGTATGGCTTATCTCACAAATTGAGAGGTTAATACTACAAATTATACACTATAAATATGTACAATTAGTAATATCGAACACTGTTCTTTTTGTTTACTGTTACATTTTTCCTAAACCAGAAATTCATTTTTGGGTGTGGCCTAAAAATAATTTTTTCAGAAAAAACCACTATGTGAGTTTATGTACTCATGATTTAACTTCACTTATCAGTTGAAAATTTCCATTTTGCAAGGATATTAATAAACTCATGCATATCAAGCAAGTCAGACAAAAATACAAAAAATAAGTTTTTATTTTATGTTAACAGTAATAATATTGAATGAACTGATCAGTCTTTCTACTCTCAGAAAATAAAATTTGAAGTTTGGATTTTTAAACTATATTTAATACTTAAATAATCTTAAATATATTAAAATTGTTGTCATCATTTATTTTATTATTATTTTTTTTGTTTTACTCTAGTATTTTAATACAACAGATATTCAATATGGTCAGGTAGTTTGCTTATTTTCAAGATTAATACAAGTGTATGTCTGAACAAAAACAATTCTTTAAAAAAACAAATATAAAAGTAATCAAATAGGAATGAATTCAAATGATCAATTTAGAACTAGGATTTTACCCCCTTACAAATCAAGATTACAATGCAACTTTATTAAAAATTTTCTCCCTTTAAATAATCTGAAGTAGAGAGAGAGAGAGAGAGAGAGAGAAAATATATATATATATATATAAATTTATATCATTGAGTATTAATACTGATTTATCAAATTAAAAACTTTTTAAACAAAAACTAGAATTTTAAATATACCAAGTAATGTCTCTGGATTATTACATTTCTTTCAGGAATCTTTGGCTCCCTCCTACTATCACAAATAACAAAGGAGGGAGTAAACCAAAAATTGCTAGAGAGATTTTTCCTCTCAATAACTAAATTATTTCACAAGAAAAACTTTTGAAATAAATTACAGTTTAATTAACATTAAAAAAAACAAAAATAACGAATTTTGAAGTCACAACTCTAAAATGAATTTAATGTTCTATGCTATTAAATTAATTTTGTTACTAGAAATATGCAAATTGCCATAAATTATATCATTAAAATTAATATTCTAAATTAGTAACCTAACTTATCATGAAAAATTTGGTTCTGCCTCAACTGGACTTATTTCTATACATTTATATAAAATTTATATTTACATCCTGGCTCTTTACTCATATTCATGTTTAAGTATTAATAGATTCCAATGGGTACTAATTCCATGGACAGTGGTGATGATTAATACATTGAGATATCATCTAACAGTGCTAATTTAAATTATCTAGGGTTATATTTTAAGGAAATATATTGGCCAATAATTGTCTTTCTATTTTAAATATCACGTACTAAATACAAAATTGTCAAAATCATGTTTTTCATGTTTTATTCTTAACATTACCAGAAATACCATAAAATTAAATGTTCATTTAATTGAAAATACATTATTTTAAATCCCAAACTGTAATATTTAGTTATAACATGTGAAATGATACATCTATCAAATAATCTATGATTAGATCAAACTAAAATACTGAATATTTTAACTGAAAAATTAAAATTTAATTATACAGTACTACTAAATAAATCTAAATCAGTTCCATCAATATCTAAACAAATTATATAATTTTAGATTAGTAATGTTATTCAATATACTCAAATATAATATTAGTTAATTAAAAAGTGTAAAAATACTTACTCTTCTACCATAATTGCCATTTGATAAAGAAGAATCACTTATATCACTTTGTGAATCCTCCAAAGAAAGTGTAGAAAGAGTTGAAGTATTAGAACCAGTACTGCAAGTTGAAAATCTTCTAAATCTTGGAGCATTTCTTGCAATATCGTCTATTGTAACTGACAACAAATCAGGACAAGGCAAATCACTGCAATCATTCATTGATTCAGGTCTCTCGTTATTACTATGATCACTTATTATAACTGATGGCATGACAAGAGAAGGACATGATAATGACTGATTTATAAAAGATTTTTTCCTTTGAACAGAATCATTAATTAAATTGGCATTAGAATTAGTGATGCCTTCACAGTGGGATTTTTGGCGTTCCATAAACAAAGGCTTTTTTTCTTCTGTAGATATCATAATTGCTGAATCTGTACTGTTTGATCTCTCTGTCCTCATCTTGTGGTCCCATACAAAAGAATTACCACAGTTCTGATTATAATTAATTATATTATAAGCAGAATTAGAATTTTCATTACTGTCACTGCCACCATTAAGATAATAATTTGGACTAATACATTCTAAAAGTGAATCTGGAGAAGAATCCAACTCTTGTTCAATATATGAAGAATTTCTTTGAAAGCAGAATGATTTTGATTTAGATATCACAGATGTGGATAGATGGGGAAGCATATTACTCTCATTTTTTATTTTAAGGTCAACATTCTTCCTAAAAACAAAATCAGAATTTGTTTCAATAGTAGATTCACCAAGTAACCATCTTTTATTTGTTAAATGTTTTCTTAAAGATATTTCTAAACCACCATTTACTTTTTCTTTAGAATCAGTTATTTCATTTTGAGAAAGATTATCTGTGATAGAATGATTAGTAGGAAGAACTTCAAGTGAAGGAGAACGAACTGACATTCTAATATTTCTAGATCTCTGAGGAGATGTTACACTCCACGATCTAGTCCTCAGTGATGACATTTTAATATCTTCAAATTTTCTAATTAAAAAAGTTACCTCATTATTATACTTTTTAATTTGAAATAACTTATCCTAAGAACAAAATATAAATATTAAATAATTAAACTTAAAAATCACATTTTTATTCAAATAGATATATATATATATCAATATCCCAAAGCCCAATGTATTGATACTCAGCCAAATGATTATGGCCTTTTATTCAAAATTAAATAAGTATTTAATTTTGAATAAAAATTAAATGTTTGAGTTGGTATTTATGAATTAAATGCAAAAACACACATTTTTGGCATTAAAGAGAAAAATTTTTTTAATGCCAAACTTCATAGTGCATTCAGTGCCGGATTAACCAACAGACAAATAAGACAAATGTCTAGGGCCCATAATTTGGAGGGGCCCAGCTTCAGTACAGAATCATTCTGTGTTTTAAAATGAGTTAAAAATTATTTAAGAAACTCAATAGGACAGTTAAGACTAAGGTCTTTAGCAATGCTTGCTATAAAAAAAATACTCTCAAACAACTAGGTTGCAAAAATATTAATGATCAATTTTCTGAAATGAAAATCTGAAAAATGGAAGATTTAAATTTTTTAATTTTTGGCCATTTAATTTGTAAACATCGATCTTTTTTATTCCTGAGAAAGGTCAGTCAAATGCCGGAAATGTTCGATTAGTTAATAAAAAGCTGCATTTTAAAGGTTTTTTGTCAATGTTTGATTATTAAATTTTTTAAAGGCTGATTAATGACTATAATTATGTATATTTTTATATATTTTTTGTTATACCAGAAACTCTTTTATTATACAGTTATTATTGTATTAGTGTTTGTATTCTCTATTATTAATAACAATTTTTAATAACATTATTTAAGATTACTTTAGAAGCAACTTATTTAAATGGAGCTCCAATTTAAATTTTGTCTAGGGCTTGCTAGAGGCTTAATCCAGCAATGAGTGCATTGGTAAAAACTCCTAAGATAAACTAAAATTAATATTTTGAGTTTTAATATTAGAATATTAAAACCTTCAAAAGTGACTATAACATATGCCTTATATACAAGTAATAATAATAATAGTGCAAGAACTTAAATTGTGTACTCATTCAATAAATTATTATTGAAGTTTTAGCTTGAAAACTAAAATTAAAAAAAAAACAAAAAAATCCTTTTGTGAAATTAGTTATTACTTTGTTACAGCTATGCTTTTATTCCAAAATTGACTAGCTGAAAGTCTAAAATCTCTTTACTTCCAACTTTATTCAACAACTAGATTGACTGAATACTGTATCAATTTTCATTAACCTATTAACAGATAATACTATCTAAAATATCAACTTAACATGTAACAATATTAAAGTAATGATTTTAATTATTTGTGAATCAGTAATAATTGTAAACAGCAAACTCATTTGTCCTCATTCTTCAACTAAGACAGCTTATGCTGTTTATCAGTATCATTAAATATAACTGTTAATAAACGTTTATTGGGTACAAGAATCAAAACATACATAAATCTGTCCTGAACAGATTTTTTTAAATGTAGAATGAATATGTGAATTAAATAGAATACAAAAAATAAACCTTAATTGTGAAAAAGATAATAAACTGTTATTTAATAAATAAACATTAAAACTGTTATATCTATTAATAAATACAATTAAATAATTCTGTATGGATAAATGTTTGTAATTTTATGTACTTAAATACCTAAACTAGGAATGTCAAATCTTGTCGAATCTTTGTGTCACATAGTAAACATAATTATCTTTAAAATAATATGTGGATGCTAAAGTTAAACTTCAAACAATTATTGTATTTTCAAAGAACTGAAGTAGTATACTTTAATTAAAATAAATTTAAAAAGCTGATTGAGAAAAGGACGATGATACTGAACTGGACAAAAATAATAATAAAAAACTGCAATACAGTAAAAAAAAAGTCGCATGCCATAGGTTTGCCATCCAATCTAAATTTTTCTTACATCTTAAAGCTTTATTGCTCATCTATGAAAAATAAAAGTTATTAGACTGTGTTAAAGTGTCTTTTGCTTAATATCAGTATTTAGGACAAAATATTTCTAGAAAACTTTAACCATTAAAATTTAAACAAATTATATTTTGAGTGTGTCATCATCAGTATTAAAATTATTATCTGTCTATTTATACAATATTTGAAATGCACTTTTCGCTTACGTCAGATTGCACTCTAAAGTAATTTAATATAAAAATATTAAGTTATTGTTCTATTACTCTCGATTAAATTCTACAGCCGAACGGTAAACATTTATCCGAGAATGCCATTAGTAAAATTCACTTAACTCCGGGGCATCAAAATTCATTAATTAAAATAGAGTAACCTATTATTTCACTATTTACACCTGCACATTAAAATTATTACAAGCATATTTTTTCCTGTTTTTGAATATAAATTTTCAGAAGAATTTACTATAATTAAAATTATTACTAGTCTTACATAACATGCAAAGGTTATTCTCTCATAGGAATACAAATAAGATCTAAAGTTAAAAAGTATTGTATTATTTTCCCAGATTATTATTGTGGTCACGTTTTATTTAATCATAATAAATAAACATTTTCTAAATCATTTCCAAAATAAATGTAAGAATAGCATTTTTTTTTCCCAACTTAATATTCTCATTAAGATCATATTTAATGATTAATTACGAAAATATTTGATGAAAATTTAGATAATAAGTACAGTTTTAAAAGAATGATTTACCAAATAATTTAATTGTAAACTTCAAGAAAGAATAATAAATTTATAACTAATGTAATTGATAAATTTCAATACTGTTTTGACAGTGATCTTTAAACAACACAAGTATTTTTCCTGTATAATAGGAAGGAAAATAATCTATTAAACGTGAAACAAATACCAACAAGATTTTACTTCTCAGCTTTATACTGTATTACACTAAAATTTAGAACACGGTAAAAATTTCATATATAAATTTGATTAATATATTAATATGCACGGAAAAATAATTCCAGCACAAAAACATTACGGATGAAGAGTTAACATAATACGTAATTATGCTTATTTATGGTAAATAAACAAGCATAAACCTTGTATTAGAATTAGCATATCGGCATAGCCACATGCAATGTAAGTCAGAGTTGAATGAACGTAACATAAACATATTCATGGTTCCATTAAATCCTTACCTCATCAAGACGTTCTGTAGATTATATAGTTAAATGACGAGGAAGGATCTATAATATTCATCGTTAACTCTACTTCTTCCGCAAAGAAAAAAAACCAATTCGACGTCACCACTCGACGGCACTTCCATGCAGGAAACAACCTCGTTTCCATATTTTCCATTCACCGGCGTCACGTACGGAAGTGCCATCTGGTAACTAGTGTTGGCGAGATTTTTTTTTTACGCTTCTAATTAAAATAAGCTAATTTTAAACGTTGTATACATTTAATAAATAATTTAATTTATATTAAAATTATATTCGTGCAATTAATAATTTTCGATGAATGTAACTGAAATTTGTATCTTCTATTCGGATGACGTAAGTTGTTCGAGCGAACAATTTCATAGTTTAGGTCTGCATCTGCCCTGCTTTATATCAATACCTTAACTCACAACAGTTAATTAATAATGGTTAATTGCTTTCATGGACGATCGCAGATTTTCCAGGATGGCAAGGCTTGCAGACAAATAATTACGTCAATAAACTTTTTATTTAATTTTTGGGGGAATTTTCTCACAAGTAGATAATACAATACAGTATTGTATCAAAGCGTCCCATGGTCGAATGCATCAGATTGCATACCTCAATTACGATTATAATTTGTGAAATTTTTTTTGATCCGAGGAGGAGCGAGTGCACCGTTTGCTCCTCTAGGGGGACATCCATGATTGCTTGTATAAGGCAAAGAATAGCCAATGAAGAAAGTAGCCTGTCTCTAAGACTAAGCTTTCTGGAACTGAGGAATAATACCGTAAATTGAATTAAATAAATCAAATAATTTAAAAATTCTTTATAAAAAACAATTTCTAGAATAAAATTTTAAAAATTGTCAACAAACAGGCAAAATAAATAATTCGTTCTCGCAGCACGCATAGTTCACTAGTCATCTGAGTGGATAAAGCCACTGAACATTGGTCGAGGGTTTTGGGCTTTACCATTGGACTAGCCGCGTGGTGTCCTCCAGATTTTTTTTCACATCTCTAATAACTAAATAGAACATGGACCAGAGGTCGGCAACCTATGGCACGCGGGACGATTTTCAGTGACACTTTGATTGAATAGAAATTAGTAAAAATTAAATTTAAATGATTAATTTTTGAAGTCCATTATAACCGGACTAATTTTGATACTACATATAACAAAATTAGTAGAATCATGGCGGCACCCGGATCAACATTATAACTTAGGTTCGGCATAATACCGCCGAAAGGTTGCCGCCCCCTGCCATAGACACTTCTCTCGGAAAGCATCACCCATGTGTTGCATTGATATATTTTGAACACAAACGTTTTCACAATAATGTTTTTAATAGATTTTTAAATAAAGAATAGTAAAATAAATAGAGATCAGCATATTAATGAAGAAATTTTCCTTATCGTGTGAAGTTCATTTGAATTGAAATTTTAATTATTTATTAATTATATAAATCCACACTGACCTAACTAAATATAAAATATAAATTTTTTGTATTAATAAATTTATGTTTTTAAATAATTCAATGTCAAGAGATATTTATATTTTCACTAAATGCGTTATAACAATACACTATGGATAAGTATACTCCTATATAGGCCTATTCTATTGCACTGAGCTTTGCATAGAAACTGATCCTTCAATTGCAAAATAAAATGGATTTACATTGAAAAAACTGAAAATAATAAGGAAGGAATAGATTATAAATCTATAAGATAGTTTCAGAGCTAATTTAAAATACGATCCACTTGATATATCATATTGAATCGCTGTGGTATATGGAGTTCTTTCGAATTATACTCTTCACAAAATCTACTTACAGATCAGTGGCTTACATTTTTTTTATTTTTTAATAAATAAGTAAATAAATAAATTATAAAACTCACTCAATATAGGCTATATAACATCCAGTTTTTCCGTTAAAGTAAAATGAAAATTTGATTATCGTGTGAATACAAACTGCAAATATGTTTCGGATTGTAATAGCAACTTTTTATTGAAAACTGTTGTCTATGATGTCAAATATAGCATTTACAATTGAGAATAAAAAGTTTTCAGGAAAATCCAGGGCATCCGTTTGTTATATAATTTTAATTCCAAGAATATGATTAAATTACCACCTGGTAGTTCTAGAAAATAACACGGACTACGTGCTGATATCAATTATTATTTTATTTTTTACTTTTTCTAAACTGTATTGAATGATAGTGTTATCTCCATAAATACTTTTAACAATTCGTAAGAAATCTATAAATTTCTTCTGATAAAATTTTAAATTACTTCATATTATAAGTTTAATTTAAAGTACATTTTATGACATTCGTATAATAATGTCATTGTAAGTGCTACAGAAGAAACTTTTAGTTGGATCCAGTCCTGGATTAAAAGGGATATTAAATTAAATTTATATATCTATTAAGTTCTGAAATAACCTCTATATATTTTCCCACAGAAAAGTAAATAAATTCGCTTGCAAGAACTCTTGCACGCATACTTTACAAATTAAAGTATGTTATGGGTGGCGCATCTTTTATAAGATTTTATTAATTATTATATCGATAAAAAGGCAAAATGCTTTTAGCAGTTTTTAGAGCAAAAGTCATATTTAGCTTGTAGAATGGTTGCTTTTAGTCGCAAGGATTTTGATATCCTGCAAAATCAAAACATGGTTCGGATTCCACGTAAAAATGTGGATTCCCATTCTGATATACCTGTCAATGTTCAAACTGGTGTAAATAAAAAACACGTTAGAATGATTTTTACAGGTAAATGTGCTGTATCTATATGCCAATCTGGAGATATTTATCATTATACTCGTACAAAGATGTGTCTATCTTTTTTTTAATCCTTGCGTGATAGAAAAATTTGAAAGTGAATTTTGAAATCGGGAGATTTTTTCACGGGAATTACCTATTTTAATGCTGGAGAAATAAAAAAAAATTATAAAAAAATTAGGTAGTATTATCAGTGTAGCAATATTAATTTTTAATTTTTTTGTATTTTAAATATGTACAGTACACGTCTGTTCATTATGGGCAAGGATTGAGAGTGAGATGGGGACTCACCTCTTCTAAAAGCACGGGAATACTGCAGATGAATAAGCTATATAGAATAATTTTATATTCTTTTATTACAGTAATCCTTTCGGACAGGAAACAAAAACCGATATCTTCTAGTAAAACCTTTTAATGCCAATATGATTGTTTCAGATAATACAGTATTTAATTAATTAAATTATATTATTTTAATAATTAAATATAAATTTTTAAAACAAAATTATAAATGATATGAACCGGACAAACAACCTCAGGAATGTTTTATGGACAGTTCTCCCGGATATTCAGGTACGTTGCTCACCATTGATAAGTCTGATGTCTTAAGAATTTGAAGTGATAATGATAAAATATTTTGCATTTTTCTGAAACCTTTATTGTTAGAAAAGTTACATTTTATTTTAAAAAGATTTTTTTATTACTACGTAAAGCTAAAATTGCGAAAGTTTTCATTGAATTTTTTTTCTGTTGATATCGTAGAAATACAATGAAGCAATTCATTTCGCTGTTATCATATAGGCATATATCGAAATATTTGATACGTTAAACAATAATATATTTTTTCAAGTAACTTGTAATAAAATTACAAAATGTAAAAGGCAAGCAAATTCGTGTCAATAGCGAGGTTGAGGCCGAAGTTTTAAACGCGAAAACGTGTATGTCGGACGTTCAGCGCCGCTCTCCTGTAAGCCTAGAAGTTTGACAATGGTGTTTGGATAGTCAGTGGAATCATGCTCGACGTTCCAAACACATTGATTTAACGAGTAACACAGCATCGACACCTGAAAGACTCATTGTTCGGAAATCGATGGCAAAAATTAAAGAGTAAAAATCGTATTAGGCATTTGTCCATCCAAAAAGCCGAAGATTCATGAAAACATATGCAGTTTAACCAGGTCGGACAGGTCCATTAACCGCCACTCAATATAAAATCTTAAGGTCATCTCACGTACGTTTCAAGTTCTAATGACTTCCAATAAGTTATATGTGAGTCTCTAAGTAAACTCTAATTCTATCTCTAATCGCCCCAAAGCGCGAGTTAGTCAAGGTGGCAGCAGCCTACCGCTCTGGGGGACCCGGGTTCGAATCTCGCACGGTGGTAGTCCATCAGGATATGTCGGGCCCCGTTCCTCATACCCGGTCGCTCCATTGTGGACCTGGCCAAACCGATAATGGGCTTGCAAAAAACGCTCTCTTAATGCCCACAGGGCGGAAAGAGTTAAAAAAGAAAAATAAAAGCGGCGAGTTAAAATTAAGCCGCAAAGTCATCCGTCTTTTACTCAAATAAGCCTAAATTATTTCTATGTTTTGGTTTAATTCATAGTTAGCTCCCTAATGTATCAATGGCCAAGTTAAGAAATATTGATATATACTGTATTTACTGATAAATTGTCTTTATATGTATAAATTATTAACTGTGACAGTAATCATCACATGATAAATTATAGACAATGAATTTCTTATAAGTGTTAAAGTAAAACGCAAAAATACTATACAATAATTGTATAAACATGTTTTTATTCTTTAAATAAATTTTTTCTTGAATTTAATGAAATTTACTTCCTTAATAATTAAATATATTTAATTATTTAAATATGTGAGGATTAAAATATTAAATTAAATAATGACTAACGGCAATAAAAACATTATTTATTTAATCTTTTACTTTCCGTTCTGAATAATCATGTGACGAATCTATGGAAAGATATTCAGTTGGATACAAACTTAAATAGACCTTATGTAAATATTCAATACAGAGTTATAACTTTACATCTGTTTAAAATTCTGTTATTTTTGCATTAAAGTAATCATATTTAATAAAAGGATATTTGTTTATTATTTAAAGATTATTGTTTTAGTTTTTCCCCCGCGATAAAATGCAAATTGGAAGAAGCATTTTAAAAAACAAAATCCAGTAACGAGTTGCTTAACTTTCCGGACAACATTTGGTGGTGTCATATGTTACGTTATTTTATTAAAAACTTTTAACATGTACTGTACATACGATTTAAAAATTTAATTAAAATATAATTATTTCTCATCAATATTTTAAAATTATGTATTAGAAATAATAAAACTATTTAAAAAATAATTAAATATTTAATACATTTTACCACTTTAAATAATAATATAATAAATAAACTTACAATCAGTATAATAAGACATTGCATTCGTGGTTTAGTTTAATTAAACGACACTCGAGAATCTCCTTCGAGAAGATAAATGTATGCTAACTTAAAAATTCTAATACGTTAAATATAGAAGAAAATTGAATTTCGTAACAATAAATAATTTTTACAGTGGAATTTAACAGAAGCTTAAAACTTCATTTCCTTTGACGTAATTAAAAACCCAATCATTGATAAGGTTACTCGACGCCAATGTTACTTCCTTCCATATTTATATAGTCTTTCCTCTATCTGTAGGGAGAGGAGGAAAACTATGAATATTGAAAGAGGGGAATTCATTCCTTATAAATTTTATTTTATATATAAAAACGAGCAATTATTTTTTGTGACATGGTCACAATGCCGGGCTGCAATTTTTAATTTATTTAATTTGAAATATATACTCTCCACCTTCAAATTATTAGTGTCTTGCCCCTGTATATCATACTTTTCCTGTTAGATAGATGAGCAGCACGACTCAATTGCTAACTGTTTACAGGAAGACATTTTTAAATTGAAATAACGTAACTTCCGATTTGCATTGAAAGTTCACGTACAGTTAATAGGGGCCTACTGCCTCTAATGTTTATATATCTGGTCTCGTATTTCATCTATCTAACTCCGTTCTCGAGATTGAGAAAAGACAGACAGACATACGAACGACAGTGGGAATTTATAGGTCTACAATTTTTTCAAATTGCAGTCAATTATATATTTATATTTAGTATTTTTTTTATGAAAAATATCTAACTTTTTAACTTCATATTGATATATTTAAGATTAAATATTGAAATCAATGTAAAATAAATTGATGAGATGAATAAAGCAAATATAAAATAATATTTATGAAACATAAATTTTTTTTTAATAAACAGAAATAATATTAAATGATTTCTGTTGTATATGGACATTATTAATTAATATTGAATATTATAATATTAATTCTTAATTTATAAGTCATTAATATAATATATTATATATATAAATATAATTAATTTTAATTTTCAATCTAAAATTATTATTTCAGTATAAAATCAAATTATAAATCAATATTATAATATTTCATAATAATTAATGTTTGCAGTGCCATAACTAGGCAAGTGAAACGAGTGCATGTAAACAGGGCCTAGGACAAGGGGACACTGAAATGGCCTTTAAAATTTTAAATTTTGTCACTGTGGAG